TTAGCTTTCAGTGTACCTTTATTTTATTTATTTATATGCCGTGCTGAGAATTGAACCCAGTGCCTTAAACATGATAGGCAAGTGCTCTGCCACGAGCYACTACTCCAGTCCCCAAGTATGTGTTTTTATAATAAAAAACATATATATATTAACAAGACATTTATAAAATATATGTAAAGGAAGATTTTGTCCAAGAAGTCTATGAATTTTAAGGATTGTAATGTAAATCTTTTTGCTAGTTCAGCATTTTTGGATTACTCTATTAGATGTTTTTTCTGTAGCAATGTGACTAAAACTGTGAATTTTCCATAGAGGTATTACCAACTTGTGAGTAAAAGTAAACTTCCTTTTTAATAAAAGTTGTGTTTTTGAGTTTGTTATATCTATATCACCTTTTATTTGTATTTATTTTTTGGTACTGGAGATTGAACCCAGGGGCACTTAACCTCAGTCCTGTTTATTTTTTATTTTGAGACAGGGTCTCACTAAGTTGCTTAGGGCCTGGCTAAATTGATGAGGGTGGCTTCAAACTTGTGATCCTTCTGCCTCAGCATCTTGAGCTGCTGGAATTACAGGCATGCACCACTAGGCCTAGCTAATTATTTTAATCTACACTTTTATCTTTAAATTATTTTAAGCATATTCTGGGATATAGGAAGGTATTAATGGCAGGTAGCATATATCCTCAATCCTGTAGAATTCTTGGGCTTAAAACAAATAAGAAAGAAGGTTAGAAAGAAGTATGTCCAGTATCAACTATAAGTTTTGAGCATATTGTGGTTTCATTGTTATCTAATTTTATTTTTTTAATTTATTTTTTTTAATATTTATTTTTTAGTTTTTGGTATACACAACATCTTTGTTTGTATGTGGTGCTGAGAATCAAACCCCGGCCGCACGCATGCCAGGCGAGCGCGCTACCGCTTGAGCCACATCCCCAGCCCTGTTTTATAAATTTATTGTAATTAGAGTATGGAGTAAAATAAAAGGGATAGGATCTAGTTAATTGAGGATACTTGTTAGGTGAATTTCAGTTAATTGAAAACAGTTCAATTAAACATTTATTTACTCTCACACAGTACTACACTGTAGGTATATAAGAAAAAGAGCAGCCCCTGGTTCCATACAATTACACAATCTAGTTTGATAGGCTACAATCAATTAGTATAGTGATAGATATATGAACTAAGATTAGTGTTATTAATTCCTTTTATCATATATTTATTGAGCAGCTATTATGTGTTAGGCCCATTGTTGGCAGCAAGGGATACTGTGACAAACAGGAAATATTAAGAGCTTATAGGCATGTTGTAAGTAAATTTTATATTTTCCCTTTTTAAAAAATATTTTTTATTAGTTATTGATGGACTTTTATTTATTTAATTGCTTATATGTGGTGCTGAGAATCAAACCCATTGCTTCATGCATGCTAGGCAGGCGCTCTACCACTGAGCCACAACTCCAGCCCATCATTTTATAGCACTTTATATAAAAAATTTTACTTTCTGTTAATTCCTATTGACAAAAACCTGAATGCATTTATACTGAAAATAGCCTGGTATTTTCTAAAAGAACTTAGCCCATTATCAGAAGCAGCAATATTCACATCAACCAACAGCACATGGTAATTTTATGTGATATATTATACCTAATGACCTTTTCCTTTTATATCTTAAACCCATCTGTTTGGCATACAAATGCTTTCATTATCTCATTGTAGAATAAGCTTTTATTTTGAACTCAGCTCATTTCCTTAGAATAATAATGTTAAATTGTTCTTTTTTCGATTTGAAATTGAGATGTGGGAAGTTTTCCTTGAATAGGAAACAGAAATAAATTAAATTTAGTTAACAAAACTAAACATGCAATTCTGAACTTCTCTGTAGAAAGACAATAGTTATAATTTATATTTCAGATTCTTAACTTTTCATATTAAGACTTCATTGCTGGGATAAACTAGGTACTTTCTATTTTAAATAGTTGTGTTTTTTAATGAGTTCCCACCCTGGCCTTTTTACTTTAAAATCCATATTTTACTTTGAAAACTTTATTTTTATCTTAAAAGTTGTGTATTTTTTGAAATAGAGTCTTGCTGTGTTGCCCAAGCTAGTCTCGAATTCCTGGGCTTAAGTGATCCTCCTGCTTCAGTTTCTGAATATCCTGGAATATAGTTGTATACCACTTACCTGTCTTTAAGAACTTTACATCAGAGGTTACAAACTGGTAGTTCTGACAGTGTTTAAATTTTTGTTTTTGTTTTCTTTTGGAACTGGTTTGAACCATGGGGTGCTTTACCACTGAGCTACATCTCCAACCCTTTTTACTTTTTGTTTTGAGACAGGGTCTTCCTGTGTTGCCCTGGCTGCACTCAAACTTGTAGGTCTTCTGTCTCAACTTCCTCAGTACCCTAGGATTTCAGACATGCACCAGTGGGTCTTGTTGTGTGTTGAAATTTTTAAATATTATCAACAGATTGCCAAGTACCAGTGGTACTTGCCTGTAATCCCAGCTACTGGGAAGGTTGAGGCAAGAGGATCACAAGTTTAAGTCCAGGCCCTGTCTCAAAAAATAAAAAGGACTGGGGATGTAGTATAATAGTTGAGCGCATCTAATCCCCAGTAACAGAAAGAGAAAAATTAAAAAATTAACCAATCATAAAAAATTGGAAAGTTTCATTAAAATTTCTGAAAAATCAGACTTGGCAGTGTTGGGTCTATAATATTAAATGACTAAACTCAGCAGCTTCAAAGAGTTAGCTGTCCCCGTTAGGAGAGACACTCACTGTTCACTTTACTACTATACTCTTTCCCAATAGTCATCCCTTGTGACATTCAGTATCTGTTTATTTCTTGATATGTGCCTATTTCAGTAGATTTACCTGGAGAATAAGAAAAAGCCTTCAACTACTTAATCTGTCATTCATTTGAAAAAAGTCCTTTATGTAAGCAATATTTTTCTTTTATATTTTTTTCAAGAGAAAGATAGTATATTTTATGTCTATAACATAAATATAAGGGGATAAAATTATAAATTTAGCTAATTTCTTTTGTAAAGGTAGATAGCATGCTTTTATTTTGTTTGTTTTTATGTGGTGCTGAGGATTGAACCCAGTGCTTCACACATGCAAGGCTAGCACTCTGCCACTGAGCTACAACCCCAGCCCTAAATTTATCTAATTCTTTTTTTTTTTTTTTAATATTTATTTTTTAGTTTTCGGTGGACACAACAGCTTTGTTTGTATGTGGTGCTGAGGATTGAACCTGGGCCGCACGCATGCCAGGCGAGCGCGCTACCGCTTGAGCCACATCCCCAGCCCCAATTTATCTAATTCTTAAACAAACAATTTAAAATCCAAACAAATATTGCATCCTTAAAATAATTACACTCGGAGCCTATTTGTTCCAAAGGTACTACTCTATTTTTGGAAAAAAAACAAGAAAGGTTTATTTCTTTTGCATATCCTTAGGATGTCACATTGTTATTTTTAAAATTAATTTAATTTAATATTTTTGTTTCCAGGGATTGAGCCCAGGGACACTTAACCACCGACCCACATTCCCAGACTTTTAAATATTTTATTTAGACAGGATCTCCCTCAGTAGCTTAGGGCCTTATTAAGTTGCTGAAGCTGGCTTTGAACTCAGGATCGTCCTGCCTCAGTTTCCCAAACCTCTGGGATTATAGGTGTGCCTCCCAGTGCCTGGTACATTTTTGAAAGTATGTAAGATTTATTAATAGTTGGAAGATACATGTAGTTTGATAAAAATGAAATGTAACAATTTGTTTTCACCTTTATTTATTTTTTTTTAATGAAGTGCTGAGGCTCAAACCCAGTGCCTCACATGTGCTAGGCAAGTGCTCTCCACTGAGCTACAACCCCAGTCCAAATGTGACAAGCTTTATGAAGTAGCAAGAAGTCAACTCAAAATCTAATTGGATGAGAATCTGAATAAAACCAGATTTTATTAAACTTCACAATAAAGTTGAACCTGAATGTGTCTACATTTTTACATAGTAAATTTTCTTTAGGAAACATGATATAAACACAGTTTTATGCCTACCAGCCCTTCAGCCTAACCACTTTCCAAACCAATATAGTATAATGAGTTAGCCAAAAATACTGCTGTTGCTGCTTCTACTACTACTAGTAGTAGTAGCATTAAAGAAAGAATCGCAGAGAAAATTTTATTGGGGTGATGGAAATCAGATTACTTCTCTAATTTCATGTTACAAATTTTGATAAACGTCTTCCAGTAATAATACAATTTAGACCATATAGAAAGAAAATCATTTGCAACTATCCTTTCAGAGAGTATCATATACTGTTAGAACCACATACAGTTTGAATAAACCCTACTAGTAAGTCACAGGGAAAAGAAAGTTAATTGGGTACATGGTTTGTGTGTTGAGACTACAATAGCACAGCTATTAAAAAAATTGTATATAATTTATTTATATTGATCATTTGAAAAAATACACATTTAAATTAGTATTTTCCCTCCTCTCTGAGAAAAGCTTCTAATAGAAGAAGTCCCTCTACCAAACTTAGATAAGATTTAGAGGTAAGGTCCAAAGGTAAGATAACAGTCATTTAGTCTTATAAAATCCTTTTCAGATGTACAGCTCCCTGCCCACCCTATCAAGTGATGAAATGTATAAAGCAATTAGAGTAGCTGATTAGATTAAATTAATTGCACTAACTGTGGACTAAGACTAAATTTGAAATCTCCTGTTCAAAAATTATTTTTAAGACAGAGGTGTGCTTTCGTAGATGAATTATATGATATGTGAGCTGAAGTCAATAAAACTACTTAAAAAAACACAAATATGTCCTCAAAGAGAAATTTTGCCACAGAAAGAGGGCATAAATGTACTATTAAATTGAACATGGGAAATAGAAGAAACTGAGGTATTTAAGGGAGGGAAGATTAGGCTGCCTGGTAAAATATTTATGAAAATATTTAAAAATTACCACACACATTTGTTTTTTATTATTTCAGGAGGACAGTTGAGGCCAGTACACTTTTGACTCAATGGGGCTGAATGGGTGAGTAAGTGAGTGGGCAAGCAGGGTCGTTTGATAAGTGTGGAAGAAGGACTATAGCGCTCAGGATTTGGACTTCTCTGGCTGGATTGGACTTTCACACAGTGACCATACATTTTCTGAGCCTTAATTTCCTTTATGAAAAGAGATGATTGTCTTTACTAAGGCAGGTACATCCAGGTTGACTCCATTGAACAGGTCACACAACACTCAGTCATTTGTAAAATGTAAATGCCTACATTCCTTTAAGTATAAATGTCATTTCCTTGCTTAAATGACTTTTCATTGCTATCAGTGACCTACAGAAAGGACTGAATAGTGAACTCCTGCTATCTCCTCACCTTGCTCACTATAATCCCCATTTCCTTGGTTTTCGTTCACCAGCAGCCTTTCTTTATAGGCTATTAATCTTTCTGTGTCAAGGCTATGTCGCTAGCTCTTGACAAGATTGGTACCTTCTCATCTTGAGGACACTGTTTAAAATTGGCTTCTCATAAAGTCCTTACCACCCTCTATCTAAAACTTGTTCTGACTCACCCATAATCTTTATTTCAGGCTGGTCATAGTGGCACATGCCTGCAATCTTAGTGACTCAGGAGACTGAGGCACGAGGATCACAAGTTTGAGGTCATCTTTGGTAATTGAATGAGACCCTATCTCAAAATTAAAAAAATGAATGGGGCTGGAGATGTAGCTCAATGGGAAAGCACCTGTGAGTTTAATCTCTAGTACCAAAACTGCAATATGAGCTTTCTTTCAGCAACTCTGTTTAATTTGCACCATAGTTCAGATTTGTAATACTTTTATTCCTGTGGTTATTTGTGATGTCCATTCTACACTGTAAGCTCTATAAGCAGAGGAATTGTACATGTTGAGTTCACTGTTCTAACCTTACCAGTTTTTAGGCACATAGGAGGCACTCACTAAATATTTATTGATTGACTTAGGAACACTTTAAATAAATGTAGGTGCTGTAGTTTTTATTTTTGACATCTGGACATGATTCAAGCTCCTTCAATAATTGCTGTCATTCTGTAGGATTCATTTATGTAGAAGTAATACAAAAAAGTACATATGTATATCTTCTTCAATTCAATTAAATCTGTTTTTCTTCCAGTGCAAGGTACTGTATATTTTAGGTATGTCCCTTTTTCTATTATAGAAGGTGAATTGAATGGAGGAAAACAAATTGGTGTTGGGGCCGAGAATAAAAATGCAGATTTTTGGCATTGGTCTTCTACCTTATCAACTTTGTGCCTAAATTAAATAATTGTTTCTCATGGCTTGGAAAAATACATAGGAACTAAATATTTATAATGTCAGAGAAACTCCCACAAGAGAATACTTAGAATTGGATCTGAAATAAAACCATTATCTTGGTCATTATTTTTCAGCTTTTGATGGTCTCTTATGACATATAGGTGAAAATTTATTTTTCTCAGGCTGTTGTCTTTTTAATAATGATAACATTGCAGACAATTAAAGCAGGATATAATTGTCATGATATTTGTAATATGTTTATCCTTCTCAGAATGATGATAGGAATTAGGATCTTTGTAATTTGAATTTCTGTTCATTAGTTGAGAACAGAATTGGGAAGTCAATTATTCATTTGTATTTCTCTTTAATCACTAAATATTTGAGAACTAACTGTGCTAGGCCCAGTGAATAAAATGGAGAATGTGATAACAAATAGTTCCTGCCTTCACAAAGTTAATACACAGGTGCATAAACAATTACATTGTACCTTATTAGTGCTATTGGTAGGTACTCAAGTAGTACTGTAATTGTTTGTATTAGGTAAAAGATATTTAAGATGAAAGTTAGATATGCCCATAAGTTAACATAATGAAGAGCAGGATAAAGAAGGATCCAGGGCCATTTGGAAGAATTGAAGTACTTGAATATTCATTAACATATAATATAAGGGGAGGAATTAACAGAAATGAAGCTGGAAAAGTGAGCAAGTACCAGATCTGGAAGGATCTACCCTGGGTTCTATCCCCAGCAATTGACAAAGGAAAAAAATTACTAAAAAAGTTGGAAAAAAATTACTAAAAAAGTTTCATTCTTTTCCTTTTGATCCTATCCCTCAAAAGTAAACTGCTGTTAATTTTTACAGACTTCGAAGTATGTGCAAACATATTCGTGGACAGAGTGTTTGCAAAAGAATTTAGTATTAATTTGTTTTTATTTTACTTGTTTTTGCAGGATCATACTATACATTTTATTCTGCAGTAGGCCCTTTTACCCTTTTACTCTTTCCACACTAAGACATAGATCTCCCTTTTTCTTTCCAACAGCTATATACTTAATGTTCCACAGCATAGGTACATTGGAATTTAACAATTCTCCTAGTCAAGGACATTAAGTTGATTCTAGTTTCTCATTAATAATAATACTTGGTAAATGGCCTCATCAATATATAAGAGTCAGATCTTACTCATGATTTGGATCTCAGCTCATGACATGAGATTAATATCATGTATGGTCACATATATTTTTCAGGAACACACATATTGCCTTTAAATAAGTCTAGTGTGGTCAGTTTTTCTTCCAGTGTTGGATCAAATTCTGTTTTCTAGTTGAGCACCAGATGAAATTGTTGTGTGTTCTACAGCTACATTTTATGAAAAATACATGCATATCTTTAAACATTAAAATTATATTTCTTATGAGATTCTATACAATAAGAGCCCTTGTGAACAGAGTCTGAGGGAATAAAATTCATTTCTCCCATTGGGTGTAATGGTAGGTGAGATTGGGCTGCACATTCTATTAAAATTTTTCTTTTTATTTTGCTACATATATTCACTGATATATGTATGATTATGACATATTTTAGCAAGATTTTAATGATTTTTTTTACCCTTTTGCCATATTTTTATTGGTGCATTATAATTATAATAGTGGAATTTATTTATTGCCATATGCACATAATATAACTGTATAAGTTGGTCAATATAATTTTCTATTTATAGATTGTTTAAAATGGGATTTGAAGGAGTACAAATGTATTATGATTAATTTTTACTTAAAATTTGAAATACTGTAAGAATTCTTTTTAAATGGCATATCAGCCCATACCTCTCCCAGTAGTAACCTGGCTAATAGGTGGCTTTTATTTCTTAAATGAAATATAGGATCACCTGCTAAGGATAAGGAAACACCAGAAAAACTGTATAGCACTGTTCAGGATTCTGGTGAATTAGGAGACCACATATTTATAATGGTACCAGTTGTAACATATTTCTCTGACAGTACTCAGCAGCATATATAATCAGTAGTAAGATTCACACACGATGGAGGCTTTGGCCGAATAGTGATAGAAATTATAGATTGTGGTATCTAAGCAGAGTAAAGTAAAAAGAGCTGCTAGAGAGTGAGAACCCTCCTAAGTTGATGAAATCACAAAACAAATAAAATGAGAGTAAACGAATGATAGAACTAGAGGGAAAATAAAGTGTCATCATATTTTAACCCAACTTTTTTACTTATTTGTAAAATGTGCAGGTAGTCTGAAAACATAGCTGGTGACTGATTATGGGAATGAGATTAGTTCTTTTTACTGAAAAAGTAAGAGAACTGAAGACATAAACCTAAAGCCATTAATTTTATTTTAATTTACTTTTTCAGGGGAAGGATCCAGTGACTGCCAAAGATGAACATTATAAAGAAAAATACATTAAAAATAAATATTACAGATTAAGTAGACAATGTTTTCAATGCATTTTTGTCAAATACAGTACAAAGAACATTTTCTCCCCTAACAAAATATCCCAAAAGTCCTAGCATTTTAGCATGTATTTCCTAAATAACCACAGTAAATCCAATCCTCAGACTCCCTTTAAAAAATATTGCCAGTTGCCCCAATATTATATATAGAAAAAGGATCCACTTAAAAATTATGCTAAATATTTTAGGAAAAGTTAATTCAAGTCTTAAGTAAATATCACATTACTAATCAAACTTGTAATTTATTCAACTGTATCTTATAAATTTTTGATTTACTCCTTTATTGGGTGGGTTATAATCTTATGTATCATTTATTTTGATATTCACATTTGGTCAGTAGGAGCCCTCCCTACAAGATTGCATATGTATTCTTTTGACATATTACTATCATTCATTGACTGTTTCTTTATTTTCATGTTTTAGGCTCATGTTATACTCTGTTAGCTTCCTCAACTCTAAACTTAGCATTTCTCTAAGGATCCCTCGGTCCTTTTACTTGAGATTGGTGTTTGTCAGATATGTTCATTGCTATTGGGTATTGCTCCCCTCAGGTCCTGTTAGTGGATAGAGATGGTTTTTTTGGGGGGTACTGGGTACTGAACTCAGGGCACTCAAACACTAAGCCACATCCCTAGCCCTGTTTTGTATTTTATTAGAGATGGACGGTCTCACTGAGTTGCTTAGTGCCTGGCTAAATTGCTGAGGCTGACTTTGAACTCGCAATCCTTCTGCCTCCACCTCCTGAACCACTGGGATTACAGGCATGCGCCACTACACCTAGCTAGGGAGATAGTAATTATTTTATTGCTATATTTGTCTGTTGTGTGTTTATAAAACGAAATGAGTTTACTTTGATACTTCTGATGCACATCCAGCACCACGTTTCATTCTAGGTTATTTCTTTTTCCATTTTTAAAATTCTTTTATACTGAGAAATTTGACCATAATTGTGCTCAATATGTTACCTATTTAGTCACTCTGCCTGTATATAACTACTCTCTCATTGCTACTCTTCTTACTCTATTTGGGTTCCAATACTCTGTTCCAGACTTCTTCTTTCACATGGATGCCATCCTCACCTTGTGCATGTGCCAATATAGCATGCTGGATTGTACTTTCCATGCTTGGGCTCTGACCACATGTGCTGCCTTCCTCACCCTTTTCTTCTTCTTTTTTTTTAATATTTATTTTTTAGTTTTAGGTGGACACAATGTCTTTATCTTATTTTTATGTGGTGCTGAGAATTGAACCCACTGCCTCACGCATGC